TAAGTTCAGTAGCCTGTAAGGAAACTGGATGCTATGGTGTGAGCCCGTAATTCCAGATATTGGCGAGGCCGAGGCAGGAGGATTCCAAGTTCAAGGCCTGCCTGGGCAACTTAGTGAGACTCTGTCTCAAAATAAAAAAAACAGAAAGGGCTGGGGATGTGACTCAATTAGCAGACTACCCCAGGATTAGGTCTCAGTATTGAAAAACAAAACCAAAAACAACAATCAGTAAGGAACATAGAATTCTAGTAAGTTTTAAGGATTCTCCTAATACTCAAAGGTGAAGGTTAAAATAATTTTAATTGAATTATATTGCATACTTATAAGCCACATGATTCTTTCCCATTCCTTATGATCCTGTTTCCAATCAGAAACAAGAAACTTTTCAACAACTGCTTACTATTTATGATTTCATATATTTCAAGCACTGTGTTGTCATTATGCCCTATTATTTCTGTGGCACTTCCCACCACTCTAATGAACTAACTTATCTGATGTTTCTGGGCTGTCAGTGCCATGTCTGCTTTGTTCACTTTACATCCCAGTACTGAGCACTGCACCTTGTGACTGAAGAATGGGCCCAGTGAGATGTTTATCAGATATCCTTCGGTGAGAGAAACAAGAGTTTTACAGTATCATTATTTTTAAAAATTAAAAAAAAAAAAAAATCTATACATGCATGAAGCGATGGAAGATTAAATTCCAAAGGATTTTCTCATGTTTATTTGTGTTTTCTAATATCCTTAATTACTTCTGTAATAAAGGAAAATAAAAATGTATGTGTAGGGGCTAGGGTTGTGGCTCAGTGGTAGGGCGCTCACTAGCATGTGCGAGACACTGGGTTTGATCCTCAGTACCACATAAAAATAAATAAATAAAGGTATTGTGTTCAATGGCAACTCAAAAAATATTTTAAAATTCTGTACTGTATGTGCAATCATACAACACAAAAATATTGGATGTGCAATCTATCTCCTTAAATATTACTTATAATTACAAAAGGAAAAACAGTAGATATAGAGAAACCATAAACAAGTGAAGAAAACTTGGTGCAATAATATACAGATAACACACATCTCCAGCTGTGGTACTAAGAGCACAATGCTACTCATGAGTGTTCCATTGGTGATATATAACCTAAATCTATCATAACAAAACACTGGACAACTCAAATCCATAGACCAATTGTTCTATAAAATAATTGGTCTATATTCTTCAAAAATGTCAAAGAAAGACTGAAGAACTGTCTAGAGACATGAAAACTAAAATGTGTGATCCTAAACTGGATGCTGTGATATCACACAACAAGCTTTTAGTCAATGATGGACCACATATGATGGAAGATTCATAAGATTATATTGCCTCGTGATATTGTAGCCATCTCAGTGCAAGTATACTTCATGACACTCAGACAATAACAAAATTGTCTAATGATGAATTTCTTTTTTTAATTAAAAATTTTTTAGTTGCAAATGGACACAATACCATTATTTATTTTTATGTAGTGCTGAGGATCAAACCCAGTGCTCCACAGAGCTACACCCTTAGCCCTCTAATGATGCATTTCTCAGTATGTAACCCCATCATTAAGTGATGCATGCCAATCTATTCTCAGATTATTCAGCAAAATACTAGGGAGGAAGATGTGGCAAATGTTAAAAATTGGTGAATCTGAATTAAGAGTACAGAGTATATGAGTTCTTTATATATATTATTCTTGCAACTTTTTTTATAAGCATAAAACTATTTCAAAGTTACAAAAAAGCAATTAGCCAAAAATAACTACCCTTACAAAGTCAACATACACACAAATATAAACATATGCTTTCTTCCTAAATTATAGTATTTTAATATAACTTTTAGAAGTAGGATAAGCCTTAGTTTATAAAGTGTAAAATTTTTAATTTTGTTTTTGCAGTGCTACAGGTTGAAACCAGGGCATTACACATGCTAGGGAAGCTCTACCACTGAGCTACATCCCCAAATCTGTATTTTTATTTATTTACAGAAAATATACACACAAAGTCTAAAAGTGTGAAGTTGGAAACCAAAAGCAAGCTCACACTTAGATAAATGTGAACAACTGAACAAAGATGTAATTTTTAAATATCTGCCCAGTTCGAAAATCCTTCTTTCTTAAATAAGTTTTCATATGAAGTCAAGTCCTTGTGATTTAAGGATGGTTTTACAGTCTTAAGTGATTGTAGAAAGTGTTCCTGATTCACTGAGGTTGCTTCCAGTCCATTTTCTTGTAGAGCCAGCAAAGCAGCCTATAAATGACAACCAACAGAAAATTGTTAATTTGCTCATTTTAAAAAAATGAATGATCTACAATAATACTTTAAAATCTGAATGCAAAACCTCAGTCTCACTTCACAGAATTCCAATATTCATGTCATTAAAAACATTAAGCTAAAAAGTTAAAAGTGATTTAAAAGCCACTGAGTCGACCAGAATTTCTCCAACATTAAAACTCTAGCTTTAAATGGAAAAAAAAAGAAAAAGCAAGCTGCAGAATAATGAATAATGAGTCCATATATATTTTTAAAGATAAGACAGTTCTTGATCTTGGAGTAGGAAAGTTTTAAGACTTAGAGATAATAAAAGAAAAGATAAAACATATAGTCTGACCCAGAAATTCTCCTTGTAAATATATATATATTCATATATACATATGAATATATATATATGAAAGACATAATTACACACATGCACCAATCAAAACTTTTCACAGCAGCAGAATTCATAATAGTAAAAAAGTAGAAACCGAGAAGTTCAAAATTTTAAGAAAGGACAAATAAATGAACAATGTTCATATACTAGATTATAAGGCAATGGAAACAAAACAAACTATAGCTACACATAAAACTACAGATGAGTTTCAAACACAATCTTAAGTTAAAGAAGCAGACAGAAAACACTATATACTATAAGGTTCCATTTGTATAAAGTTCAAGAGCAGTCAAACCAGTCTCCAGTGTTTTAAGTCAGGAAAGTGGTTCCCTTTTGGAAGTGTAGGGAACAGAGGTGAAAATGGCCCAAAAGAAAATTTTGGTGTACTGATAATATTCATTCTATTTCTTGATATGAGTAGTAGTTAAAAAGCATGATCACTTTATATTAATTCCATAAACCATATCCTTATGATCTGTGCTTTCTGAATGTTACATTTAAAGCTGACCTGTAATGTCTTCTGCCTTCAAAATAAAACCTAAAAGGTCCTTAAAGACTTATAAGGGCCCATATGATCAGATTTCTGTCCATTTCTCCAGGTTTATTTCTTGTCTTTCTCCACTCTAAGATTCAGTAATGTTAGGTCATCACTTTTTTGGGGGGTACTGGGGACTGAACTCAGGGATACTCAACCACTGAGCCACATCCCCAGCCCTATTTTGTATTTTATTTAGAGACAGGGTCTCACTGAGTTGCTTAGCGTCTCGCTGTTGCTGAGCCTGGCTTTGAACTCATGATCCTCCTGCTCAGCCTCCCCAGCCACTGCGCCTGGCTCAGATCATCTCTTACTCTAATCCTCTTCACATTTTATGCCCCCTGCTTCAAATAGTTCCCTCTACTTTTAGCTGGCTGACTCCCTGATTAGCTTATCAACGTCAGTTTACATATCTTCTCTCAAAAGCCTTCCCTGATGTCCCAATTCTGGGCTGATGTCCTTCCTACATGTTCACCTTAGATTTCCTCAACTCTACATATTTCAATCTCTGCTCCCTCCCCTACTAATGTGTATCTACCTTCTAAGGAAAGGGCCCACCCCTGTCTGCTTCCTATTGAATGATATTTGTTACACAGAAGTCTTATAATTAATGTTTTTGAGCGAATGAAGATTTGAATAGATGATGAAATGTTTTGAACCATACATTGATTACTTCACTAATTAACTTACTTCTTTGCAGAGGTTTCTAAGATCAGCTCCAGAGAAAAAACTGGTTTCTGCTGCTAGGTTTTCTAAGGAAACATCAGGTCCTATTGGCATGGTTTTTGTATAGACTTTTAAAATTGAAAGCCTGCCCTGGAACAAAATAAAAAATCTTATTAACATTTATGTTTGACACAATAATATATTAAAACATTTTAAGTTTGAATTATCTATCATATATAGATAAAGTGTGTGTGGGGGGGGGGAAATCAAACAGTAAAAAAAAAAAAAATCACATCTTTACTTCTGAAGAGTAAGAAAAATTAAGTCTTCAATGGCCCACGTGACCATGGTAAAAATAATCAACTCATAAAAAACTTTAATATTTTTATAATATTATAATATTTTGTAATTTTAAAATAGCCAACTGTAGATAGATCTCTTTAAGACATAAGACAAATCTCTTGGGTACAAATAGTACAACTAGAACAATTTAAGATAAAAATATATGAATTATCAGATAAAATTTAAAAGTTTTACAGACATTTTAATGTTTTAAAAATTTCTTCAAAACTTGATAAAAGCCCAAGGGGGGAAAAAAAAAAACTTCATTCTGAATCTTCTGCCACTCCCTGTCAGTGGTTCAAGATGCTAAGGACAAAGGATTTACTGACTGACTGTGGATGCATTGCATAAACTCTGTAATCTAAAATCTCTCCTCTGTGAAATGAGGATGCTAACCCAGATTATCTCCAAAACCCTTTTAACCTCTTTTCAACACTCTAGGATTCCTCCATTCCAGTTGCAAAATAAGGTTGAGTAGATTCAGGACTCAGCACTGAGTCTGCCACAACACTACCACAAGGTAACTACCTTACTTTTAGGCTTATCTTTCTCTGAAAGCAGGGCCAGGTATCCACCAAGAGCAGATCAAGATTACGATTTTATGAAGGGCCATCAGGCAAGGAGATACTGAAAGCCCAGTGTGAGGAGGACACTATGTTCAACTATGTTCAGTTTGGAATTCAATTCTGTCAAGCTCTTGGAATGTAGATGTTGATGTGGTGTTCAGAATGTTCAGAGTAAATGTCTACTGTGAGTACCTTCTGATCTGGAGGGGGAATATAGATGATCTTATCCAATCTTCCAGGTCTTAATAAGGCATCATCTAACACATCAGGTCTATTTGTTGCAGCAACAATCATGACATTTTGATTAAAAACTTCTTGAAACTCTGAGGGAAAACATATGACACAAAGTAATATCAATAAATTATTCTCTCTTTTTTTTCAAGTTATGCATCAGAAGGTCCATTTGTTTTTAAATAGGGATATCTTTTTCTTTGGACCAGAATGTTTATACCTCCTAACCAGACCACTTTCTTGATATCAAGGTATTCCAGAAACATATCATCATCAAAGAGCTACTTTGTGTGCAGGAAGGGAGTGGATAGTCCTGAGAAACTGTTTTTCCATGTGAGAACCAATGAAAAGCCTCATAGCACAAAAAACTGTCCTACCTGGTGACCTGAATACACTTGAACCCTCAATGATTACAACTTAAATGGACTACCTGAAATGACAGAAGCAAATGACTCAGCAAGTAGAAATGTAAGGCTCTGAAAATTCTTGGTTATCTATCCCCAAGGGGATTTACTTTACTTTTTATTTTTCTTTCCAGAGACATAAAGAATGACAAATAACCTAAGCTGCAAGCATGTAAATCCTGGATGAAGAGAAGAAATGTCTAAAAGCAGTCAGAGCAAGGCCTTGTATACAATAAGCAATTAAAATTATTTGTTGAACTGAATAATTGGAACTGTTCTTCGGTGTTCTAATCCCTCCAAGCAGGGAGTTCCAAATACTTTAACAGAGGATGGATGAATACTTGCCAAATACTATATGAGGAATTCCTGTATTCTTAAGATTTGGTTTGATAATCTCATGGATGCCTTATAATTGAAAAATTATCTACTAGGAATACTAAATAGAAATCAAACTCTAGCTGGAAAAGAGACTCGGAAAACAATATTTACATTCATATACATCAAAGATAATTATAAAATTTACTTCACATTTCCTCGCCAAATCACAATTTCCACCAGCCCTTTAAAAATCTTATTAACGTTTATATTTTACACAGAGTCAAAATGAAATTACATATATCCCTCTAAATAAATCAGCACATGTAAAGCAAGAGCATGGTAAGAATTCGATTTAATGTCGGTCTGGATTTTTTATGTGCTCTGGCTAATAAATACCTCTTCATTTTTTTCAGCTCCTGGTATTTACCCTGTAGATTTGATTTACTTCCTCTTCTTTCTATTGTCTTAAGTCCCACACCATCTAACTCATTCAGGAGAATGGAAAGAACTCGCTCTTGAACATCACATCCTGTTTTGCTAACTGAGCGAGACCCCAAGATTGAGTCAATTTCATCCAAAAACACAATTGCTGGAGTATTTGCTCTTGCTTGTCGAAATACCTAATGTTGGAGAAAAAAATATTAAAAAGCTAATAATTATACACCATTCATTGAATGTACATTCTCTGCACTACTACGTATAACTTTTATTTTTATTTTAAACCCAATACTTTGTGCATGTTAGGCAAGCACCCTACCACTGAGCTCATCCTCAGCCCACTATAATTTTTAAAGTACAAAAAGGAAGATTCTTAATGCCTAAGAAACTGGGAATCAATAAATCAAAGAATAATAGAGTATTATGTAGGACTTTAAAATCATATTTTGAAAGGATATTTAATATGAAATTTCAAAAGAGATATGTTAAATTAAAAAAGCAGGATAAAGCTGTAGAAAGATAAGACCTGACTTCTATTTTGCTTAAAAAAAAAAAAAAAAAAGACAAAGGCAATTCAACAAAAAGTTAACAGTAGGTAGAGGGATTATAAAGGTATCTTACTTAAACTACTCTGTATTTTCTAAATTTTCTATAAACAAACATGTAAAACTTTTATGATTTAAAACACAACTACTAATATTTTTTAAAATAAGGTTTATCTAATGAGATATGAAATAAAAGATAAAAAGTAAACTTAAATGCATGAGAAAAAGAACAAACCTGAGACAAAACTTTTTCTGAATCTCCAACGAAAGGTGAAAAGAGATCAGCTCCACTCACTGAAACAAAAGAGCAGTGACAGCTTGTGGCCAGGGCCCTCACCAGGGTGGTTTTAGCACATCCAGGAGGCCCATAGAGGAGAAGGCCCTTTGGTTGTGTCAGGCCCATCCTAATAAAGTCCTGAGGGAATTTCAGAGGCCACTCAATGCTCTGTAAATATGCAAAAAGAGATTAAAAAATTGTTTTAGTATAATAAAACATAAAATAATTCAGTAAATTCATTCAGTTCACTCAACATTTCTCAGGTATGTGTTATGAGCTGAAATACAGTCTATTCTCTACATAGTAGCTAAGGATTTTAGAAACTAAGTCAGGCCACATCACTTCCTACTGAAAGCGCTTCAATGACTTCTCACAGAACTGGCATAAAATCCAAGTCCAAACTGCCTACTTGTTACAAGGCCTTACATAATCTATCTCCCAAACATCTGGCTTACTCCTATCTCAGAGCCTTTACTTGCTGTTCTCTCTGATTGAACTTCCCAGAAGATTTCTGTGTGGCTATTCCTCACCATTTGGGTCTCAGTTCAAATCCATTTCCCATGGAGAGGTATTTTCTAACCACCCTAGCCAAAGCAGAACCTCTTCCTCATTATTCTCTATGCTGCTACCTATATTTTAGAGCACTTATTTGCTAATATTTTTCCATGTTGGGTCTACTGTTCTGTTCTTACTGGAATATAAGCAAAGTTCACCCCTAAATCCTCAACATCTAGAATGACCCAGCCCCAAGCAGGCATTAAACAAATGTACCAAACAGTCAATGAGTCCTGACAGTCTCTAAGATAAATGGTTTTATTATCATAATTTTACAGATGCAGAAACTCAAGCTTAAAGAAGTTAAACTTGGAGCTGGGGTTGTGGCTTAGCAGTAGAGCGCTTGCCTGGCACATGCGAGGCTCTGGGCTCAATCCTTAGCACCACATAAAAACAAATAAAGGTATTATGTTCACCTACAACTAAATAATAAATCAAGTTATTATGTCCAACTATGACTAAAAAAAGAAAGAAAAGTTAAACTTGCCCACCTCTTATTGCTAGTAATGTGGCAGAAACAAGTCTGATGCCAGGAATATAACTCTAGAGCACTCACTCTTGTTCTTAATTACTGATATATAACTGCTACAAAAAGACAAGACCCCTGAATTCTGAACCTCATGTACACACATTCTGGTTAGGGAAACAGGATTATTAACTAATAGCTAGAAAAGAGCATTCCAAGGGGAAAGAACACTACAAGATGTGCCTGAAACCATCTAATTTATTCCAACATTAAGCAGGAGCAGTGGAGAGGATGGGAGAAAGTAGAAGCAATGGAGTTAAAGTAGAGGTAGGAGTCAAAACACAAATGAGAGTTTTTAAGTCTACACTAAGAAAGGAGCATGAGAAAAGCATTGGAAGGAACTAAAGCTAGAGGTAGGGAGACCAATTAGAAATTTCTTGCAATGATTTTGTCTACAAAAATTACAAGGTTAGAAATGTCAAAGTAGAAATGGCATGGAAGGGATGGGTATTTGAAACATAAAAAGGAACTGTATTTTTGGTTGGGACTCAGTTCCGGCCACTTGCTCTTAGAACACAAGTTCTGACTAAGGGATGGGTAGCTGGCTGCTTTCACTGAGACAGAGAATTCAGTCAGTTAGTAGTTGACTTACTGGATTATGAACGCACTGATTTTGAGAGCCATAGGGTTATATATAGACAGGCCAGTCAATAGTCCTGATAACCAGAAGAAATGTCTACTGATAGAAAATCAGTAACAACTATGCCATACTGACTGTTTATTGCAATTTTGTGTTTTTACCAGTTCCTGTCTTACAGCCATGCAGATCAGAGGTCAGAGGAAACTAACACCCACTGCCCCTATTTTTAAAACCCACAAACTAAAAATAGTTTTTACATTTCTAAATCTTGGGGAAGTCAAAATAAAATAGTATTTTGTGAAAATTATGGTTTCAGTGTTCATAAATAAATTTAACCAGAATACAATTATAGTATCTACAGAGGACTGAGTACCAAAATCTAAGGATGCTCAAGTCTCTCATATAAAATTATGTTGGCCGGAGTGTGTAGTTTAGTGCTTAGCACTCCAAGACTCTGGGCTCAATCTTCAATACCAAAAAAGAAAAAAAGCATAGTATTTGTATACAATGTACACACATCCTCCATGTACTTTAAATCATCTCTAGATTATTTATAATGCCTAATAAAATAGATAAGTGTTATATGTATTGTTTAGGGAATGAAGACAAGGAAAAAAGCCTGTAATGTGTTCAGCACAGATACAATTCCTCCCCTAGAATATTTTTATACTGATTTAAATCCACAGGTGCAGAACCTGTGGATAGAGGGCTGACTGTACTCATTTATGTGTTGTCTATGGCTGTTTTTGCACTACAGTGATGAAACTGAATGACTGTGACAGATACTGTTTGGCTCACTAACCTTAAAACAAATTGCTATCTGGCTTTTTACAGAAAAATCTGTTGAATCCTGTTTTAGATTTTAAATTTGGGGGGATGGGGGTTTGCAGGTATTGAGGATGAACTCAAGGTGCTCTACCACTGAGTCATATCCCCAGTCCTTTTTGTTTTTTCTTTTGAGACAGGGTCTTGCTAAATTGCATAGGAACTTGTTAAACTGCTAAGGTTGGCCTTGAATATGTTATCTCATCCCACCTCAGCATCCTAAGCCACCACACTTAGCTAGATTATAAACTCTTTAAAGAAAAAACAACAAAAATAGGGTTGAGGTGGGAAAGCAGAAAGTTAATTTGATGTCTACAAAAGTCCACTTAAACAAAGACAGAAAAGTGATTGTTGGATTTAGGTGTCAAGATCACATTAGTGATCATAGCAAGAGCAATTTCAATGCAGTCTGTTTTCATTGTAAAAGCACAGAATATTAATCTCTAATATTCTTCTAGCTTAAGCAGATTGTTACCTGTTTTAACTTCAGTTTTACATCTTCAAGGCCACCAATCTGCTCCCAATCAATAGGCCTGATGTCCATCAATCCAATAACACTTCGAAATGATGAAGGCTGAATCTTCTTAAAAGCTTCAAGGAAGTCTGTTTCATCAATCAAAGGATTGTCTTGGTTCTGAAGAAATACACACAAAAAAGCAAAATCAAATAAAAAATTAGGTGATCCTTTTTTGTGGTACACAAGCACAAATCTTTTTAAAAAATACTTTTTGGAATTTGTAAATCTATTTTGTTATCATTATGAAAGAAACTTATACACAGAAAACAAAAAAACTGAATATCTCCCAAATTCCTACTAGTATTCATCCCCAGAGAATGCCAACATTTTCTAGCGTATTTTTTAGTATGTTTAATGACAATAAGCATATATGTACACCCTGTTAAACAGATAAGCAAACTGAACCATTAAATATATATTATATATATAAATTATATATATCATATATTTATATATATAATATATACTATATATAAATATATATTATATATGTCTTTTTCGCTTATCTTAAGAGATTTTCTCATGTCAATCAATGATTCTGTTACTCTTTTTGACAAACATATAATACACTATTGAATAAACACATCATAATCATTCTTTCTGACAAACATTAGGTTGTTCCTAGTCTTGTTATTCAAAAAAAAAAAAAGCTTCAACTGAAAATCTTTATATTTTATATAATAATTTCCTTAAAGTAGAATTACTGAGTTTAAGAGTATTTACATTTACAATTTTGACAGCCATTACTAAACTGTTCTCAAAAGAAAATGCATCAATTTATTCTCCTTTAGTAATATGAAGCTATTGTTCTCCTGCTACCTCTTCAACACTCTATATATTACCAAACTTTTAAGCTTCTCCTAGTGTGACAGGAAAAAATGGTACTCACCACTGTGAGGGAATGATGAAATCAGTCACCTTTTTTGCAACTTTCATTGTAAAGGCTCTTTTGGCAAGAACAAGATACTACATCTAGGGATGTCAAAGTCTGATAAAAAGAGGATATTTGCATGCCTTAAAGTATCTCCCCACAAATTTCTCAGTGGCTACACAGTGGAGAAATTTAGAAACCACCTTGATCATTAATCAAAATTAGCATCACCAATGAGGAACCAATGGACATGTATGCCTCCATTTGTGGTACTTTAGTGGTACACACCTATAATCCCAGAAGCTGAGGCAGGAGGATGGTGAGTTTACAGCCAGACTCAACAGCTTAGCGAAGCCCTAAGCAACTCAGCAAGACCCTGTCTCTAAATAAAATTAAAAAATGGGCTGGGGATGTGACTCAGTGGTTAAGTGCTCCTGAGTTCAATCCCTGGTACCCTCCCCTCACAGGGAAAAAAAAAAAAAAATTGTGATTTTTAAAAAGACTAAAAAAAAAATGCAATCTATTATCCTGAACTAGATTCTGTTTGAGAGAAAAAAAATGCTGGAAAGATTGGGAGAATTACCCAAATAAGACTATGGACTATAGATCTGATAATATTTATATCAATGTTAAATTTCCGGAGAATATTAACTATATATGACTATACTGTGATCATGGCAACATTCTTATTCTTAAGAAACAGATAGTAACATATTAAGGAACAAAAGGTATGCAATCCATTCTCAAATAGTTCCCCTAAATTAAAAAAATAGATGCACAGATACATGCGCACACACACACTCAGTAACTAAAAGTGAAGACTTTTCATTCATGTTTACTGGTATTCCTTTTATTGTCATTTATCTATCTTACTACCCATTTACTCTTGATTATTGATCTTAGCTTATTGATTTTATAAGAGTTCTTTCTATATCAAGGAAATTGGGATAAAAGTATTTTTCTTAGTTTTGATTGTGTTTTTAGGCCTGTCGTTGATCAAAATGTTGCTATGCAGCACATGACTACAGCTTTTTTTTTTTTTAACTGTATGGCAATATTAGATATTGGGTACCAGAATACTAATTAATTTTTAGGTAATACCAACATTTGAAAATCTTATTTATAGTTCTAGAACACTTGAGTCTCATAACCTTTTCAGGCATATAAATTCTTTCCTCTGGGTGTGTATTTAACATTTCTAGTCCTTTAACAGAAATTCTCCACAAAAGTTCAACCACCTTTAACAGATCCCTTGTCTGCCCTGACACAGACAGAGGCAGCAGTAGCCCCTCAGCTGCCTAGTGAGAAAAAGAAGAAAAAGATGGAGCCAGTACCTTCCCAGATGTCTCTGTCCCTTCTTCCTTTTTGCCCTTCTTCCTTCCACTTTCCCTGGGTTGTTTCTGAACTCAGCCGTCAACTGTGGTAACTATGCTTAGATAGGCCCCTCCTGAAGTAGCAGTGGGCTCCACCCTAGGATGACAGCAGGTGACTGGTCCACCTAAGCCAGAGGTGTTTAAGGTCAAACATGGAACTCTAAAGTAGATGAAATCTGAAATGTAAATCTCTGTTCCCATCCCCTGGTACTGTCATCTGTCTCTCAAAGGACATATATTCTCATACCTTTACACAGGGGACTTATTAAAACTTTGAGTAGTTTTGGCAACAAACCCATAAGTTCACATAACTTCTTCCTACCTTCAATACAAGAGTAAAAATAAAGGAAAAAGAATTAAGAAAGGATATAAATTATTTAGATAAAAAGGTTTCTCAAAATTCAGGTTGATAAATCATCCTTATGAAGGTTAAGATCAAAGAACACTCTTTTTTAAAAATTTTTTTGTAGTTGCAGATGATGTTTTATTTGTTTATTTTTATGTGGTCCTGAGGATCAAACCTAGTGCCTCACGCTTGCTAAGCAAGTGCTCTGCCACTGAGCTACAGCCCCAGCCCACAAAGAACAATCTTGATGTTACAACTGAAGTCAAAAACTCTAAGAATCTTCAGTCTACGGAAATTATTTTTTCCTGAAGAGGTTAGAAAACATACTTACCACCTTTTTTGAACTCCAAAATTAATTTATTATATTAATAAAAAGATTAATGTAGAGGGTAAACAATATTTCTTACCTTTTCACTGTGAAGGAGAGCGTGCATGGCTGCCTCCCTACAGAGTGCTGTCAGGTCGGCACCAACATAGCCAACTGTCATTTCTGCAAGGAGACCCAAATTGGCATGACTGGAGACGGGCATCTTTGAGGTAATAACCTGTAGAATTTCCCTTCTTTGTTTAAGTGTGGGAGTCCCGATGATAACCTATAGACAATACAAAAACAAAAAAATTAAGTTTACAGCTTCAATTTTTTTTATCTTCACCAACTTGTACAATAATAAGCTAAAAGTGTGCAATTATTATTCCACTTTTAGAGTCTAATACAGAAGTGAAATACTACTTAATTCCTAAGCTTCAAACTTCTTTGGTAGTGTCCTGGGATTGAACCCAGAGGTGCTTAACCACTGAGCCACATCCTCAGCCCTTTTTTATAATTTTATTTAGAGAGAGGATCTCGCTGATTTGCTTAGAGCTTCTCTGAGTTGCTGAGGCTGGCTTTGAACCCATGATTCTCCTGCCTCCTGAGCTGCTGGGATTAAAGACGTGAATCACCTTGCCTAGCTAGATATTTAACCTTAATGGCAACTCAAGGAGCAAATGTACACTGTATACTGGTGTCCTGATAAGGAATGAATAAATCCCAATGAGTTTATGCCTGCTTTGATTTAGGTCTTTTTTGCCTTTACCCTTTTTATTTCAACACACTTTTGAAGTTATCCTGCCTGTTGGTTGTCCTTCCAAATGTACTAGCGTTTAATACTTTCGTAGCAGACCTAGTTCCCTTAAGAATTAACATTGCCGATTACAGTACTGATCTTCAGGAACAGTACAGCAAAAATAACCCCAAATGTATTCTGGACAAAACAGGTCCTGACTCACAGATCACTTAAGGGCTCCTTACAAGACGTCCCAGTCGAGCCTCTGACTCCCAAACCTAAGACGCAAATGCTTCGAAGCACCCAACCAGGCAGGGCAAGAAGAGGCCAGAGTTCTAGGGACAAAAGGGCTAACCTGTCTCGCTGCTCACCTCTCGGTCAAATCTCCCGGGTCTGCGAAGTGCTGGGTCTAGCGCGTCTGGCCTATTGGTGGCTCCCACAACAACCACCTCGCGGTCCCCGCAGACGCCGTCCAGGAGCGTCAACACCTGGGCCACCACGCGGCTCTCGGGGGTCCGGTGTGGGCCGCCCCTCCGCGGACACAGGGCGTCCACCTCGTCCAGGAAAAGCAGGCTAGGCCCTCGGCTGGCCAGCTCCCGGGCGCGCTGAAAGACCCGCCGCACGTTCTCCTCCGTCTCCCCAGGCCGGGAGCCCTGCAGCGCCGGAGCACTCACCGCCAGCAGCTCTGCGCCCGCTTCCCGGGCCACCGCCCGCACCAGCTGGGTCTTGCCCACTCCGGGAGGACCCACCAGGAGCACCCCACGGGGCACAGCTAGCCCCAGCGCGGCCAGGGTGCTGGGATAGCGGAGCGGCAGGCGGAGGAGCTCCCGCAGCGAGTCGGCCGCCTCCGAAAGGCCCCCTAGGGACACCTCGGGCTGTGGCTCCGCCGCTGACGGAGGCTCCCGGCAGAGAGCGATGCAGGTTCGAGGGGTGACAAGCCCCGCTGGATCCGGGTTGGGTGTCCCGCCGATGATGTGCAGGGCGGTCACAGGGCCTGGGTCGCCCGGCGGAGCGGCCACCACGTGGCCCTGGGAGACCGGTCGGTTCCTCAGCAGCTCCTGCGCGGCTTCCAGCACCGCGGCTGGACTCGGGGCACTCGGCGCGCCTGCGGGCATTCGCAACACTGGCCACACAGAGAGGCGCCGCAGGGGCGGGCAGGGTACCAGGCTGAGGCGGCTCAGGCTGAGAGTCCCCGGGGAACCCCGCTCCCCCACCGCCGCCCCGGGACTTGCGCACTGCAGGTCCAGCTGCACAAAACCATCAGCTCCGTCCCGCCGCGGCCAGGCAGTGCAGAGGCAGGAGCCGCCTTCGGGCAGCAAGATCCTCACTGCCGAGCCCACACGCGCACCCAAGGTGCGGAGGGCGGCGGGACCCAGGCGACAGCGCTGGGTGCCCCGGTCCCTAGCATCTACAGGTAGCAGCTTTAAGAGGGGCCCTTCAGGGAAAGGACCTGAGTTCGGGACCATGGCACGTGGAAGACTCAGTCCTAGGAAGCTGGAGCAGGAACTCCATCCGGACGGAAAGGCCAAACACACCGCGCTCCCGGACCGGAAGCAGGCTGCGCGCATGCGCTAAGGATGGTGTTCAGTAGCTAGCGGTTGAGTGAAGATATCAAGGAAAAAGAGACAACGTCTGGGCTCTGGGGAAGTTTTGGTCCAATTTGATGAAGTTGAGCAGCCCAGAGCTTTATGGAGGTGGTGTTTACAGGTGCCTGGGAGGCAACGTAAGCTAACCATTAAGTATGGCCTTGGGACCTTGGGAGTCACCAGCATTGCAAATTCTTTTTCCTGGCCCTGGGACCGTGGCATTACTGAGTAGGACAGGAGAGGCTGGACACCCCAGAAATTTTCAGGAAGCAGGTTTATTGACTGCAGGGTTCAGAGGTGGCGCTTGCCTAAGAATTCTTCCTCTGATCAAAGATATGGAAATTCTTTTAACATTATACCCAGTGGGAGGGGAGCACTTGGAGGCTCACATGGCAAGTACTTTCTGTTCCTCTAGACCAGACACAGGTTTCACAAGTTTGTTTGTTTGTTTTACCAAGAAAACAAGAGATAATTTTACCAAGAGATAATATATTCTGTGCAAGCTTACAGACTAACTCTGTCACACCTTTTGTGCGCAAACCTGGCGTTTATAGGAAGGAGGAAACTACCAATCACAATAACTCCTGTAGACATGTTGCTGATTTGACAAGAGGAGAAGCTTAATTATGGCAAGGGTCTTTGGAGTGAGGGTACCTGGTCTGCTTCATTACTATTGCCGCTATTGGAGTATCAGCCTACAGACTCGTTTTTTTTGGTAAAGAAACTCCCAACTGTCCCCCATGGGAACAGTATTTAGGGGGTGTCATATTGCTTATGTCTTAGGTAACTCGGATTAGCTGAGTTAACAACCTTGGTACCTTCCATAACCGAAATTCTAACCTGTTGGGGTGGTCCAGCCTTTCTATAGAAAAGCACCAAGGAGAGGAGCACAGTGTGACATTTAAAATCCTTTGGAGAGGGGAAAGAAGGAAAGCTAGGCTATCCGATGCATTTGTAGCATACTAGTACATTTGTTCCGATTCCTGATTTACTCCTTTGAATGTTCTTTGGCATTAAAAGGCTATTTGGGACATAGCACTACTAAGTCTTGAACTGGATTAGAGACTATACCTGTCTACATTATTAAAACAACTGCCTACTTTTCTTTTTCCACCTACTTTCTGCGTTTTCGCAAGTAATTACTCTTATCAGCTGAAATTCATTTCCTATCCCTTTTAATTTTCATTAAAAGGGATGACATATTTAAAGGCAAGAAGCTATGCCTTTTTTTTTTCCAACCAGGGATTCAACCCAGGGGTGCTTTAACCACTAAGCCACATCCCTGTCCCTTTTTATTTTGTATTTTGAGAAACGGTCTTATTAAGTTGCTTAGGGCCTTGCTAAATTGATGAGGCTGGCTTTGAACTTGTTATCCTCCTGCTTTGATCTCCCAAACCTCTGGGATTACAAGAGTGTGCCACCATACCCAGCAAATATGCCTCGTTTTTAATCCTGCTCACATCTTCCTACCTCTATTTTTCTCACCTTCACTGAAACCCAAATTTGTGAAATAACAAAACTGATTGCAAACAGAATGCCTAAATGGCTGGGATGCAGTTATATAGTTTCTATTGCAAATAATCCCAGATTGTATATTATCAAATCAATGGAAAGTATTCTTGGATCTGGGACCAATGCTAATTCCTGGTCTCATTCTATCTAAACTTAATAGCAAACAGTATGAAAGACTTCTAGACTCTACTGTAACTTATCTCTTTTTTACTTTTCCAACTCCAGTGCTAGAACAACTTAAAATGCACCCAAAAAAATAGCACAAATAGCAGGAGGAGGTCCAGAAATGGGTAATTCTTACATTCCCTTAATTTCATTAGCCTCTGTCCTCTTTGGCCTTCAGACTCCGCTCTCCCCACCCATTCCCCACCAATATACACTGGGGATTGAACCCAGGGATGCTCTTCTACCACTGACCCCAATCCTTTTTATTTTTTTATTTTGGAATAGGGTCTTGCTAAACTTCTGAGACTAACCTGGAACTAGCTATAATCCTTCTGCCTCAGCCTCCCAAGTTACTGGAATTACAGGTGTATGCCACAGTACCCCAGCTGCTTTCAGGCTTTTCAATAATTGTCTTGCATATTCTCAAAAAAGCCATTTTCCTGACCCCTAAAGATGTGAGTAAAATGCCTACTAAGTTATTCATCATGATGCCTGTACCTCAATGAAGATTCTTTAATTCCAGTTCCAAGTAACTGTGAGGATCTAGGAAAGAGAATGAAGACTTAATAAGGACATGATAACTGTCTTAAGTATGTAAAGGGCTGTCATGTAAAAGAGTCAGCATATTTAGGAATATCTATAATATAGAAGAACCAGGAAATGAAAGATCAGTGGAATGAATTTAAGATTTTTCTCGGGCTGGGGATGTGGCTCAAGCGGTAGCGCGCTCGCCTGGCATGCGTGCGGCCCGGGTTCGATCCTCAGCACCACATACAAACAAAGATGTTGTGTCCGCCGAAAACTAAAAAATAAATATTAAAAAAAAAAAAAAAAGATTTTTCTCTACTTGTATTTTGAGTATGGGCATATGGAAGATACAGTTAAGGGACATGACTGAAGCCAATTTAGGGGAGCAAACATAAGAAGGCAAATAAAGTTAACTCAACCTTAGCGTTTTCTGAAATTAGGAATATGATGTGAAGAAAACTGCATGTTGTTTGTGTTAATCTGATGGGTTGCTTTTCATACAGGTCAAACTAGAATCCTCTGCCCTTGTAGGACCCATATAGCCAGGAAATGTTCACTTCACCCTCCCTGAAAAGGTGAGTCCTCACCTTAAGTCTCAAACAAAATCAACAAGGGATCCTGTTCCTGGACCTTTAACTCTTATCGATCCTTTCTGTTCCTTTGGGACAGACCTTTTTCTAACACTATTATTTCAACTATCTGTGAATTCATATTTATAATACCATTAAATTATTTAATCTTCTTTGGGAAAAGCATTCTAATAGGAATTGAGTGGTTCTTTTGCTTATTTGTTTTCAAGATCATCCCAAATTTGGCAATTCTATGACTTGAAGAGCATCAATTAATGCACAAAAATGTTGAGCCACTAGAGGGAGTCCAGAACCATTTAAACCTGAAGTCTGCAGGATTGTCTGGAGATTGAAAAATGTTCTTAACTGTGAATTCCACTAGGTTTTGCTCAGAATTCCCAGATGTAAAAAACATCCTATTGTCTCTATATAGTGTCTTAGTCTGTCCTGGCTGCTATAACAAAATACCATAAGCTGGGTAGGTTATAAACAACAGCAATTTATTCCTTATGGTTCTGGAGATTAGGAAGTCAAAGATCAGTATACTGACAGATTTGGTGTCTGGTAAGCATCTACTGTCTGTTTATAGACAGCACCTAGTTGCTGTATCTTCACATGGAAGAAAGGAGTAGCTAGTTCTCCAGCTTCCTTTTTTAGAGGGCTAATCTCATTCAGGAGAGCTCTACTCTCATGGCCTCAACACTTCCCAAAGGCCCACCTACTAATACCATCATCTTGAGAGTGAGAATTTCAACATTAGATATGTGTGGTGGGTACAAACATTAGAATTACAGCAGTAACTGACTTATTCTTACACAATTTCTGCATGTCTCAGCCCATGGAAATCCCAGTTTCCAAGTTAAAACTTAATTTCTGTATTAAATTTAAAAACAAGACTCTCCTCGGATCCAAAATTTAGTGGTAGATCAAAATCCAGACAAACTGAATTTATCTTGCTATAGCCTAGAAACATTTCTAGGTTTAAATTGTTTCAAACAGGTTTATTATACAAAATATTTCCTGAGATTTTTCTAAAGAGATACATGTAAGAAATAGTTTCTCTTGATTTCCATTGCTACATTCAAAGTTACAATTTGTCAGTCCATGGTGGGATTATCTGTTAATTTCAGTGACTGGGGAAGCCAAGATAGGAGAATCACAAGTTTGAGACCAGCCTGGGCATTTAGTGCGACCTTGCCTCAAAATACACAATAAAAAGGGCTGGGACTGGGAAGCTGGGGTTGTGGCTCAGTGGTAGAGTACTTGCTTCATATGTGTGAGACACTTGGTTCTATTCTCAGCAACACATATAAATAAATAAAATATATAAATATAAATAAATAAAATAAAGGTCCATCAACAATTAAAAAAATGTTTTTAAAAAGGGCTGGAGGGCTGGGGATGTGGCTCAAGCGGTAGCACGCTTGCCTGGCATGCGCAGGGCACTGGGTTTGATCCTCAGCACCACATAAAAATAAAGATGTTGTGTCCACCGAAAAACTAAAAAATAAATATTAAAAAATTCTCTAATTCTCTCTCTCTCTCTCTCTTTAAAAAATAAAATAAAATAAAAAAATAAAAAGGGCTGGAGATGTAGCTCAGTGCCAAAGCACTCTTGGGTTTGAGCTCGTGTACCAAAAAATAGTAACTATTTTTAAAAACCACACACAAAAGTTAAACTTAGTATAATAATTAATTTAATTGATAAAAATCTCAATATACCTAGAATTCAGAAGAAGTAATTAGAACTTGTTTATTTTTAGGGTAATGATTATACATGAATTTTGTACCTTTAGCATCAATAATAATATATGTTAAATATATTTCACTACATGAAACATACCATAATTATGAAAAAGCTAAAGAAAATAGCTAAGCCATCAGCATGAGTCATCTGTAGAAGAATGGATACTAATCTTTTCTGTTTTTCCATTTTCAAGTTATATTTAACCCTAATATACTTGAACATTAGCAATGATTATAAATTATAATAGATGAATATAGAGATCCATTTAACCACACTGGAAAAAGCATGATTTGCAAATGTTTTAATCTCAACATGTTCATGCTGATTTGTCAAGTGGCCTCATGTGCCAAACAGATGATCTTTTTTTTCCCCCTAAAACTGGGGATTAAACCCAGTGACACTCTACCACTGAGCTATATCCCCAGCCTTTTTTTAATCTTT